ACAAAGAACGTCAGATGAGAAAGGTTTTAATATCTGTGGAGCGATAATGGATGAATTTTGAAATCGAACACAGTAATTCTTGCTTTAAAGTAGTGTAACACCTCTATTCTGCAGAAGACACAATACTTACCTTTTTGTACAGTCTGGAAATGATTTTTGGAAATGAAGTTGTTTTGAAAAAAAACACAAAAACACTTTCTTGCTTGCATAAGAGCTTACCGGGACAGATTCAGCAGATAGTTGTAAATTGACTGAATCCAATTCACGGAATGGAGCACGGCTAGAACATACCCTGCAGAAACTCTGACACAATAACAACACCATAACCACATTACTTCGTAATAGCGCTTTAATGGTGAGACAGTGACATATTCGCCCACTGTCGCCGTTCACTTTGTCTTTTTCACATCTTTGTGTCTCTATCAGCCACCTCCGTGTTCAGTCACTTTCTCTATTCCTATTTAGTCATCCACTATACATCTTCTTATTTAGAGTACAAAAATAACCAACAGAAACAGCTTTTTGGTCACTAGGTAGAAGATGCCTTGTGATGTGATCTAAGAAGTCATAAAAATGGTGCAAAACATAATAATGACTAGGAAAACAGAATAAGGGATTTTATAGATTTCCTTTTCCCTTGAGGTTCACTTTGCAACCACCACAACATACAACAGCAAGTTATTCAATAACATCAGGTACCAATCAATTAATCAATTGGTCTTTTGTTTTGCAGAATGCATCCAATTTATTTTTCCCCATTTCAGCCTCCAAACCCCAAATTACTTCCCTTGCACATTCCCTCTTCTCTGGGCAACGGTTCAACCTGTGGCTTATGGGCTATTAAGTGACCAACTGACCAAAGCAGGGGGGCCCGGCACCTGGGCCGACCCGCCCCATCAGCCAATCGATGCATGTGTCACTCGGAACATAGAGCAGTGACAGCTGACCAGATAGGGCTGTTAATGATCGCCAGGAAGAAGCAAAGAGAGGACCCTAATCGAACTTGACCAAGCGAGGGGGGAATGTTTGCCTGTTACCTGTCTGTGTGACCTTCTGTCAGTCTGTCTGTGTGGTTCACCCATCTAATTACATGCATCCATTTTTTTTGCCTCTAGCCTCTAGAATTATGAGGTAAGGAAAACAACAGATTAGGTTAGCCCATTTTGGCCTCACTGGGTCATTGAGTAAACAGCCTGGTTTGTCTCTAGGAGCAGGTTTCCAGACTCCACCTAGCAAAGTTCCTTGCAAAGTGACATAATCTTGTTGTTGGGTGGATTTTATATAAAATGATTAACGTAAAATACCTGGGTTGTGATTCAGTTTATACATAAAATCCTTGTTTTTTTTAGACTTCTTGAGACTATTTCAAATATGGATGCACCATTTTCTGGATATCTGCCTCAGTACAAATAAAACCCAAATTTACAATCTGTATAACACATATTGTCCCACTAAAATAACACTACAGAGCTCCTCCGTAGTGATTTTTTAAAGAATTCCAGCTGCTAAAGTTTGTCCAGCTTTGTTGAATATGTAATCATTAGTGCTGTCAGTTAAACGCGTCATTAACGGCGTTAATGCAAACCCATTTTAACGGCGTTCATTTTTTTATCGCAAGATTAACGTTCTTTTGGGCCTAGCACACTTTGTAGTTTTTTTCACATGCTGTTGCAACAACTAGTAACGTTAGAAAAACTACAACACCACACTGGATCAAGCTAGACCGGAAACAAAACAACAGGCACGCCGGACACACTTTAAGAGTAGTAGACGTTACGTTTTGAGTGGATGGCGAGCACAAGATGCCGAAATGGATGCCAATAATATTCTGAATGGAAAGTTTACTTTTAAAAAGTTGCCAAATGGTTCCATTGACAAGACCAAAGCGATCTGTGTGTTTTGTCGTTGTGAACTGAGCTATCATCGCAGCACATCCAGTCTGAAATACCACTTGATGGCCAAGCACACAGCTGATGCGAATTCTCCGCCCCCTCATCCAAGCCAGGCGACAATGGATGATTTTTCAATAAAAACAACATTTGCAAAGCAAGCCGATCCACTTTTCCATGTTGATAAGCGCATTAAAATGAGAAAAAAAAAAAACAATGGGACAAAAAGAAATCAAGGGACATTTAGAATAGATAAAAATGTGCGATTAATTGCGAGTTAACTATGACATTAATGCGATTAATCGCGATTAAATATTTTATTTGTTTGACAGCACTAGTAATCATACATTACTGCATCCATGCAATTTCCAACAAAAAGTGCAAAAAATTAACTATCAAATAAATGTGGTACTGGCGAAGCTTCCAGTTTGGCAGTAACGATCTACCAGTGCCCTAATATGAAAATTAATTTTTTTGTGAAGACATCCAGGGCATAATGAGTAACAGCAATAGCTGTGGATTCATTCACATCTGGCTGATACCCAATCCATCTAAAAAGGTATCAAGAACTGTTAAGTTATACCTCATTCTCAAGCTCATGCAGTAAGGGGTATGTTTTGGGAATACATCTCACAACCTGTCGTGGCCAGCACAGCGAGAAAATCTGCCGGGCAGGAGCTGAAGATGATACGGCTATAACGAGAAGAGATGTGGTATGGATGGAAGAGGAAGGAGCAGCGCATGATACTGCGATTTTGTTCCAGGCGCGATGTGTTCCTCTGGCAGCTGAGAACATCTAAATTTAGACACACCCCTCATCTCCCCTTCCTCTTCTCTACATCCTCAGCCCCTCCTAGCCTCCTCATCCACACTTTCCCCTCCATTGTTCTCTCCTCATCACCATGAACACAGAGACATGAAAGCCCCTGTGGTGAAAATATCGACAGCTCTCCCTGCGTCAGACAAGTGTCTGTGCTTGAGTGTGCCGAGCTGTGTGTGTGTGTGAGTGGCGCAACAGCCATCTCGACCTGATGGGTGCTAAAAACAGGTAATGATACAAGATAATGACAGAGGATTTAGGTGTGTGTGCGTGTGCTCAGTGTCCATTAGTCGTACGGTGACAGTGTTAGAGATGGCATGAGAACGTGTATGAAGTAAACACACACATTTATTTTATTTTTTTCGTGATTTATTTTTTTCATTTACATTCCTCTACTGTCCTCCAAAATATTATCTTTCTTCTTGCTTATCTTTCAGCATTGACTTGTGACCAATTCACAGCTGAGAGTGAGACAGCTGGTCTTGCTATATTTACTTCATACAGTCTTCATTCGAGGAAGTGTGTTTGTTTGTCCGATAGCATAATGTTGCCTGGACTCTACAACTGAAATGAGTTATTTTCATAATCAGTTAAATTGTTAATTATTTTCACTATGAAAAAAAACCTGAAAATAATGAAAAATGCTCAGCACAAGTTCCCAGAGCCAAATGTGACCTCAAATGTCTTGTTTTGTCTGACCAAGAGTCTGAAACCAAAAGATGCTCAGTTAAATGTCACAGAAGAAAAAAAAAGACATATTTGAAAAGCTAGAACTTTTGTTTAAAATTGTTCAAACTTAGCAAATGACAAAAGAATATTGTTGACATTGGTACAGAAACTCCTGCTAGACAACCAACAATCCTTGTACATACAGTACAACCACAGAGCAAGCAGACAAGCACAAAGACACATGCAGACACTGTTCTGACAAGGTTACAGTTCAATGTACTGGAAAGAGACAGAGTGTACTAAGAGGATGTGGGGAGACAAACGACAGACAGAAGAATGAAGAAAGAATTTAACTGCATTAAAATTAGTTGCATCCCTGGCCCCTCTTGGACCTGCCTCTCAGCCTTTACCAACCCTCGTTATGTGACATGTTTTTCCTGTTTCCCACCAGGAGTGAGTGCGTTTGTGTTCAACACCAAGGCGCAAAATGAGAAACGCTTTTGTTGTAGCTGCACAATATCTGTAATTATACCCCACAGGACACATATAAGAACATAGCACCGCTATCATTGCCATACAGCCACCATGCATACTAGCTGCTACTGCTGCAAACCCACTTCAGAGTTCAACACACAATGATGCTCACAATAGTGTTGAAGGCTTTCAAAAAGGGCTCATTACAATGATAATACCACAAAAGGTAAAGCCAGTGAGAGCTTGTTGAAAAAGATATTAAAAGGTATTATAAGTGAAGCAGTGCACCACCAAATACCCTTTGGAGTGGATTATGTTAATGTCATTGTGCATACTCTAAAACAATCGCTGTCCTGTTAGACCATCTGTTTAACTGTTTAACTGCAGCAGGAAAGCATTTAAAAAGGCATGTGGGATATTTTGAATTGTTAAAGCCAAGCCAGGAAGGTAAAAGGTGATTAAATGTATTTTCTATTAAAAAATTCCATTTTCATTTGGAAAGGATTATGATCAGCAGCTTTAAATCTGAACCAAAATTTAAACCAAAGATTGATATCCCCAAACTTTAATAATAGAATAGAATAGAAAGAATAAACAGATAAGAGAAGAGGAAAAGGACAAGGGCAAAGAAAACTAGAAGCAGATAATTAAAAGATCAGAAGGAGGGAAGAAAGGAAGTAGATGGGGACAAAAGGAGTCAGAAGTCGCACTGACCTACCTAAAATTGGGTGAATGGTGGAAAAAGGACACACAAGAAAAACATCTTGTGATACAGAGAATTTGATGAAAGAAACGGGGGCTAGAGGTTATGTAGAGGAAAAACAGAAATTTAATTTTACTACTGTGTTGTACTAGCAGTGGAACCCATTTAAAACTAAAGGTACCAGATATGTCTAGCTGAATTTTGGGTTAATGTGTATGATGTGATGGACAAGAAATCGAGTATTTCCCTTTGATGGAAAACATGGGGTCTTAACTTTGAATATTTCCGTTGGTGAGAGCTACCTGATACGATGCAGAAATATGATGAAAGAAATTGTTTGTTTTTTTTCTAATTTAGAAGCAACTGGAAGGGATTTATATGGCAAAAACAGGGTTCAATTTAAAGAGTTTACATCCAACAGAAGCATTTCAAACTATAAACTGACCTTGCTGGTTGAGCTGCTGTGTGCTCTTGCTCCACTGCGACAGCCCCACAATGGCCACCATCTTGGCGCCCAGACTGGAGCGCCGCTTCTTGTTGCCAGCCAGTGATGTGGAGTCTGCGCCCCCGCTGCCGGGACTCTTCTCCAGGCTGTACATGGCCCCTGAGATGCTGGAGGAGCGCACCACATTCCGGGCCGCCGCGCTCAGCCCACTAAGGCCACTCATCCCGCCTGGGCTGGGCACCTCCACAGAGCTGCTGAGCATCATGGTCCTGCTGGACTAAGGGGCCAGAAAGTTGGAGCAGGGCTGAGGAAGGAAGGTGAAAGAGGGTAAGAAAAAAAAAAAAAAAAGACAATTAGGTGGCAGTGGAATAGAAATCGAAGATGAGAGAACAGCTCCAATAAAAGGACGTCTTGATTTGCAGCACGTGATGAAATACAGAATTATAGCTTGTCTTACAGCTGCAGTGGCTCCCCGAGGCTGAAGGACACCGAGTTTAAATTTCAACCACAGTTTGGTTTTCAATTAAATTCCCCCACTTATTGCAGAGGCAGCAGAAATGACTTCCTACCCCCATAAAAGACAAATAAAAAGTGAGATGCTCCGAAAAGTGTTCTTGATCTCCCATAGTTTTGCAAACTGAGAAAACAAAGAACACAAAGGTCAGCAGACGAGGACAGTGCAGATGGCAGCAGACTGTTCAAGTGAGTTAAGAAATATCTCCCGTCACTCTCACACACACACACACACACACACACACACACACAAATGTCAGGGCTGGCCTGCTGTTGAGGGGTGACCCTGTCAGCTGGTATTTGTCTCGTGTGTTTTTTTGGAATCTCATTCTGTGTCTGACCTTAAACAGTGACAGATGATAAACTCTGCAGCTCAAGTCATCACTGGTTGGCTGAATCCTGGGAGGAAACCAGTGTGTGTGCGCGCACAGTACCGCCTAACTCTGATGAACTTATGAATATCTAACTGATGCACGCAACGCTCTTTGGTTGCAGAGTTGCAACTCTCATCATAGGCCTTTTTCGCCATTGTAGGAAAAGCACATGTTAATAACAACATTGGCAATGGCTCTGTTCTATTCACATAAACGGTGACAGAGGGCCAGAGTGCCAACATGAACAATAGCAGGACCCTGAAAATGAAGCAGCTAAATGGAATTCAACCATCATCTTCATAATCAATTATTTACAGCTGTGCTTCTCCTAATGTGACGTGTCAAAAATGACAAAAAAACTAACTATTATTATTCAGCATCTCTGTCATGCCATATCCCACTCCTCTACTTTCCTTGTTTCCTTTCCTTTTCTCTCTCCTGGCTTCAGAGGGATTATACTGAGGCTAAACCAACAGCCCAAGGGCACATTAAATATGTAGATGCACTGTGGCCAACATCGTGCTTTCACACTTCTTTTTAATATTTCTCTTTCTTCACTTCATCCACTTCCATATAACTTCTCTCTCCACCTGCTTTCTCACTTGGTTAATCATTACGACCCCTGCTGCAACTTTTTTGTCTTCTTTTTTTTTGTTACACAGAAAGTACGGCAATGCAGTCTTTTTCTGTCGAAGACAACCTACTTAATAAGTGCCTTGCAAACTTTAGTTGATGACAAAGGTCCTCTTTAGGTTTTTTGTATTCTTCAACACACCAACACACGTTATACGCATCATCATTTAACAAGATGCTAGCATCTCTTTGAGGCTGTACTTAGCGGCATAGTGGAGCTATGTGCTAATAACAATTCTAATATGTTGATGTTTATCAGGTATAATGTGTACCATATTCACCATCATAGTTTAGTGTGTAAGCATGAGTACAGCTGAGGCTAATGGGAATGTCATTAGTTTTTTGGTCATAAACTGAAGTATTGGACAGATTAATAACTTTACGAATCCTGTAACATTCCAATAGCAATCAAAATTTTAGAGTTCATCCTGCCGGGAAAGTGAATGTGTGTTCTCAATTTCATGGCATATATTATATTATCCGGCACTGATTGCAGGAAAGGGTTCACAAATTCTTTATGCAACTTCAACACTCACTCCCAAAACTGGAAATTATAAACAACACATATTCAGTACAGTGAATTTGTCCTTCATACATCTTTGGAATTGAAGACTCAAATGTAAATGCCCTATGCTTCCGTAAATCAGCATCATTGCCCTGCCGTGTGACGCCACCACAACCATGATGCTTACATCCAAAAAATTTTTGCTGACCAGCACTTTTTGCAGGAATGTATTCAGCATTACCACAATAACTGAAGTGGATGCTATTGAGGAACAATGAACGGATGTAGCAAAGGGCAAATTGTGGCATTTTGTAATGAAACTGATAATAGCAGCCAAGTAGGAGGAGGTGGAAGATTGCATGCTTTGTACAGGGCTACTGCAGTGACATTTGTTCTGACTGGAAAAGGGTACTGAGGGGAAAGAAAGAGGGAGAGAGGGGAGTTACGGGTTTAAAATCTGAAATTCAGGTGAGCCTATATGTCCTTATTTTCTTCCCCTCTTTTTCCCCCTCCCTCTCTTCCCTCCTAACCCGCTCTTTTCTATTCCAGCCCATGCACACTTCTCTTCAGCTCTCTGGGGGGGCCTCTGTATACTTTGAACACACAGCAAGTAGAGCAGGAGAAAATGAGGATAAGGGAGGGATGGAGAAGGCTGCTGAGAGAAGGGAGATAAACAGAATAGCTCTGTTTTCAGTGAGGACAGAGGGGAAGTGAGGGAAGACAGAGGACAGGGAAAGAAACGTGGGAGGAGACGATGCTTCATAATGAATGGACAGAGAAAAACACTGCAGGAAGCTGGGGCCTGATCTGTGAGAAATAATGGAGTGAAAAGCAAGAGAAGGAGAAGAATATGACACTGATGTATACTGTATATATGGGTTATATCTACACTGTCATGTGACATTGGTTACTGTGTTGTCCTATCCACAGAGCCAAAGTTTCCCTGCTTACTTATGAGATTGTTAGATTCATCCTGTTAAAGGAATAGTTCAATATTATGTGAAATACGCTTAATTACAACATACTTACACTATATCATAAAGCTTGGTTAGTTTAGCTTAGTTAGCATAAAGTCTGGAAGCAGGAGGAAACAGCTCGCCTGGCTCTGTCGGTAGGTAACAAAGTCAGTCTACCGGCACCTCTGGTTGTCTTGTTGTTTTTACCCTTTGATTTTAGCACAGATTAAATAAACAAGGCAAACACATTAATTAGTGAGCTTTGGAGTTGCTGGCACACAGACATTTTTTTTTATCTTTGGATAGACTCCCACAAACAGCCCCCTTCAGTGTTTAAGCTAAGTTAACCATCTCCTGGATCCAGAGAGAATTCACATGAATGATTTTTGTAATAGTCATTTTTGAATGCACTGAAAAGTCACCTTTTTTGCAGTTGAGAAAATCTCGGCTCAAGGTTTACTTACTTGCTTATGAGAAACCATGACTAAATTTCCCTTATACTGAACAACATATTTTGCGGTTTACTGCAGGTATGAGCACATGTCAGAAGGGGCTAGTGTTGAATTTACTTTCCATTTTTGAATTATCTATTCTTGGGCAGGTCAGTTGGGGAAAATGTTAAACTTGAGATGCGGTTGGGGTTACTTTGTGTGTGCTTTATTCTGTGAAGCAGAACATTTCTCCATTTTTAAAGGAGTTTGTTATTTTGTGAACTCCATAGCTTATAAGTCAAACCACATTAAAAAATATTTAATGGTGGGACATGAGCACTTTTTTTTAAACCACAAATGCATTTTGTTGTGTTTTTTTTATCTCTTGTATCTGCAGTTAAAGATGCCACCATGTACCTGTCCCCACACAGTGTTTTGCCTGACCTAAAGGTACGACTGGAGCCCATCTATCTTCATCTCAGTGCCAGACAGCTCCCCTGCCATATGTCTCTGTGCTCTCTTAACTTCTCATCTCAGAGCTCATTTATTTCTCCTCCCATCAGCAAACCAAACGCCTCCACCCAGCCTGGTGGCTATCAGCTCCTCCTCTGCACCTTGATTCCACCCGTCTCCACCCCACACCGACCCCTGCTATGCGAGATCTGCTAATTTGTCTTACACCGTGCCTACACTAGAGATGTAGCGTGATCAGCGCGTTAGCAGAGTAGCAGCTTCAGTTCTCCATGTGCTCACAGTAGGACAGTAGGTCACTTGGGTTTTTGCAGCACTTAAAGCCCAGTACACAACTGCTGTAGCTATGTGCATAAAACCAAAAAAATAGACATGAAGCATTAAAATACGCTTCAGGCTGCATTTACTGAAAAAGGCTGCATTCACTGAAAAAAGGCTGCATTCTGCGTAGACACGCTGTTTGCCCAGAGATTTGAGGGCAAGCAAAAAAAAAGAAAGACACTTTCTTTAGGTTCAAGAAGATGCACAGAAGAACATAAATGTGTCATTTATAGTGTGCAGATTCAACAAATATGATAAAATGTGATAAGAAGAGAGTTGTTTTCTTGCAGGTAAGAGGATTTTTCAATTTGTTTCCAGTCTTTGTGCTAAGCTAAGCCGCTGTTGGCTGAGCTTGATATTTATCTGACAATGTGAGAGAGGAATCTGTCCTCTCATGTAACTCTCTATAAGAAAGCAGCATATTTTTCCCAAATTGTCCTTTTCTTTAACACTTCAATGATTATTTTTGGTAGATAAATATTTCACAGATTGAGTCTTCCCTTATTTAAAATTATACCAACTGTCTAACAGAACACTCTATTGGCAAAGCTACAGTGTAGAAAATAAGAAACTTCCGTGTGATTCAACTACCGAAAACTGCATGTTGTCAGTGTTAGCCAATGCAGAGAAGCAAAGTGTAAAAATGTTTCAGTTTCTCCCATAGACACAAATTCCACAACCTTGTAATTAGATATAGCTGAGCGATCCATTAATGGTCTCTTTAAAGCTGCTCTCTAGTATGCAGGCCACACAGCCACTGCCGCTCAGTTAATTAACCTACAATTTAGCTGCAAAGTACATGGTAAAGATATCCTGTAGGTCTGAGTCTCGTCATAAAACAAATAATATAAAGCCATGGGGAGAAATGTCTCAACATAGTCATCAATAAGCCATAAAATCACTCTTATTGTCTCCTTTAACCTGTTCTCATGCACTGGTTTTACCAATTTGTTTTTACTTATTGCCTCCACTAATTGCTTTACTGTAGTGCACTCTTTCGAAATGATCGTTTTTTTTGTGTGTAATGTTGGATGACTCTGTTTTGATGTGTTTTTGCCAAGTGCTTTGGCTGCTGCAAGCTGAATATCCCCGAAGGGACA